CCCCCTTTCTCTCACATAAATTGTGGAGCACACAACATGCTGCCACCACGGGAGGGATGTTGTGCTCGGCGAGGTCGAGGTGGGTGAGGAGGCACCTAAATCGGGCTTTCAGTCGCCCAAAGGCCCCCTCAATGATGATGCGGGCCCTGGTCAGCCTCACATTGAAGGCCTGGCGGGAGGGGTTGAGGTGCCCCGTGTAGGGCTTCATGAGCCAGGGCTGTAGGGGATAGGCCGCATCCCTCACCAGGCAGACGGGCATGTCCACGTCCCCGACCCTGATGTGTCGGTCAGGGAAGAAGGTCCCAGCCTGCAGCCTCTGGCACACAGAGGAGTTCCGGTACACCCGTGCGTCATGTGCCTTGCTGGACCAGCTCACATTAATGTCCATGAACTGGCCCCGGTGGTCACACATGGCCTGCAGGAGGACGGAGAAGCACCCCTTGCGGTTCACATACTGGAAGGCCTGGTGTTCCAGGGCACGGATGGGGATGTGCATCCCGTCAATGGCCCCGCCACTGTTGGGGAAGCCAAGGGCGCCAAACCCCCGGATGACGGTGTCCGGGTCGGTGAGGCGGACCACCCTGTGGAGCAGCACCCAGTTGATGGCCTTGACCACCTGCGGAGAGACACAGCAAAGCGAGAATCAGTGGGGTGCCCTGGCAGTGCCCCGCGCCCCTCTCCCGGAAGCAACCCCCCCCAGGTGGCTTGTAATACAGCCGGGAAAGACCGGCCCCTCCAGTGTGGGGCACTTTCGCCTCCTCCCTGCCCATCCCCCCGTTTTCCCTGGGGCGGCCCATCCCCTCCTTGCAGCACCCCTCTCCCCTGGCCCAGTGGCCAGTGGGTGTCGTACCTGCATGAACACTGCTCTGACAGTGGATCTCCCCATGCCGAACTGGTTCCCGGACAGACCAAACCCTCCCGTGTGGGGTACTTTCTCCTCCTCCCACCCCCGTTTTCCCTGGGGCAGCCCATTCCATCCTTGCATCCCTTCCCCCCCCCACACAGTCCAGTGCATCTGTATGAGCACTGCTCCAATGGTGGGTTTCCCCACGCCGAACTGGTTCCCGACAGATCGGTAGCTGTCCAGCATAGAGAGCTTCTACAGGGCGATGGCCACACGCTTCTGGATTGGGATGGCGGGCCTCATGCAAGTGTCCCATTGTCGCAGAGCAGGGGCAAGCCACTCGCAGAGCTCCAGGAAGGTGTCCTTTTTCATCCTGAAGTTCTGGGTCCACTGCCTGTTTTCCCAGCGCTCCAGGACGATGCGGTCCCACCAGTTGCTGCTGGTGTCCAGACGCCAGATGAGGTGGGGTACGCTGGCGCCCGGGCGCCACCACACCTACTCCATGGCCCCCAGGTGGCCAGGCGGAGAGGCAGGGGGGCGGACGGGGCCCGGGGGGGGCAGGCAGCCTAGCAAGTCCAGAAACTGCACCAGAAAGTGCAGGGTAAGCTCTGGCTCCGTGTTGCCACCTGTGGCGGTGTCCCCTAAGGGAAGCACTGACATAGACGGGCGCAGACAAAAACGCTTTGCTGTCCCTCGGCAAGGTAGGCAAGCAAGTGGAAAAGCTGAGAACCGGCTGTCCAGGGGGGTCCCTTTAAGCACGAGCCTCAGATAGCCTCGGACAGCAGCCACACAAAGCAACTACTGACCTGATGCCCTGCCAGAACTGGTTTCAGCCCCCCTTAAGTGCTCCCCAGCGTCCAATCAGTGTGGACGCGCTAGTTTGAATTAGCAAAACGCTAATTCGTACTAGTTTTTAAGTCTAGATGCGCTAATTCGAATTAGCTTAGTTAACTAAGTTAATTCGAATTAGCACTGTAGTGTAGACATACCCTCTTTGGGGCTGGGACTGTCAACCATTAAAAAACTGTACAGTCTCTAGCACAGTGAACCCCAGACCTGACTTGGACATTGAAATGTTATGTAATATACAGGAAGTATTACTAAAATATCAATTGCTGCAATTATTTTAATGCTTGGCTTACCTGTGTAATGTTTTCAGCTAAGGACATATTCATTCACATTTTCTTGTTCTGACTTCTATTTCATCATACACACAGCATGTAGACCAGCTATTCCCCCTTGGTTGGGATATTTTGTACCAGGCAGCAGTACAAACCAGGCTGGCATTAGGAGTAAGCCACATGCCCAACTGTCTTTGGTACTGAATGTTCAAGGTGAACTCTACCCAGCCTCTCCCCCACACTATTTGGGAACAGTAAGGCTAGGAGATTCTGGGTCAGTTTGATTCTTGCTTGACTGTCTCTTCCACCAGCTATCCATTCAAGGGCATCTTCCACTCAGTAGCAGTGGCTAGGAGCCACCTGGCATTTGATCCATCTGTTCCACAATCATTTGGGAAGACTAGGAGCAGCAAAGATCAGGACTATGAGTCATCAGAGCATTGCATTCTGGCCTGGCTAGGGAGGCTTGTGGGCTTGCCAATGCATCTCCCACTTGTCAATAACTTCAGCAACCAGGACAGCTTTTGTGAGGTGTCTGCCTTTTAAGTGCACTACCCCCGTTGTCTATCTGTCATGGGGAAGTTGCTGGGAACTACTCAACTTTGGAAGCTCCAGGGGCCACAATGAAACTCACAGAACATGTTAAAGGCTGCAACTTAAGTGTGATTGCATATACATACAAATATACATGCAAATATATGCGAATAGCTTATTTCATACTAACGGGCATGAATACAAAGATTTAACCTTAAGCCTCGGTGCTGGACCCAAATATGGCCAGTGTAAGCCAGTCAGCACTTCTCAGGCTCTGCCCACAAGGCTAAGCCACCAGTACATCCCACGATGCCCTGGCATTTCCTCCCTGGGGGCTAGAAACACCGACACCCTGTACCCGTTTGTTCCAGCCAGCCCGTTCGCTTGCGTCTTTCAATGCTTCCCCCACCTGGGAGATGTCTCGCCATTGTGGAGCGTGTTCCCAGTGAAGGCCATGTTCAAAGGATCCCACCAGAGGACCAGGTGTTGACGAGCCCTGTATTATACTAATGCAGCTCTAACCTAGTTGGCCCCTATCCCCATCTCCACTAGCCTTTGACATTTCCAAGGGATAGTTGCAAAAAGTGTAGAGGAAATTCACAGAAGCAGGGGCAGATGACCGTTTTGCAGGGCCCCTGGCAGCATAATTCCGTGGGGCCCCCCCTTTGCCACGGCGCATGCGTAGTGACGCCATGCGCCTGCACGGTGGCGCCACGGCACATGCGCGGGGCTTTCTGAAGCGTGGGGCCCAGGGCGGCCGCCCCATTCGCCCTGCCCTATATCCGCCCCTGCACAGAAGAATCATTGACGTATAGGGAGGTCTGCTTGTAGCACAGACTGAGAATACTGATTTTTATAGCTCCCTTGATATTCCTCCCATACTCTGAAGCCAGCAGAGAAGCAATGGCTAGGACTCAGTGGGGCATATTTGCCATCCTGCCCTCTTGCAACCATTGGCTATAGTATAATTTGGAACAATTTTTGAACTGGTTTAATTTGGACCAGGGACAAGCCTCGTGGTAGTAGTCTGAAGATCACATTACCACTGTGTTCTCTTGAGCTTGCAGCTAAGGATATGGGCCTTATTTTCTTTAAAGCCCTCAACTGACTTGAAAGACTGTCCTTGCCTTCACACTATACCAAGGAAACTGTAATCAACACAGTCAGTTTCATCCTCTAACTAGAATGAAGTTTATGGGAGCTGGGAAAAGGCTCTTCCAATTAAAATGTATTTATTTACACATCCAAAGCAAACTGGTTCAGAATTATATCCATTGCTAGATCAGATAGCAGTAGACTTGATTCTCTTAGAGGACTCAGAATAACCTTGGTGTTTCTAGCATTATCCCACATAGAAAATCCTACCCATTTTAGCACTTAATGGTTTGAACGATTCCAGTATAATGTCTTCATTTAGGATCTGTTTCGGAAGTATGCCAACAGAGGCGTGGGGCAGTGTTTCTTGTAAGCGGGGCGCTTGTGCAGCTGTTCAGGAGAGATTCAAATGCCACCCTCCTGATAAACAGAGTACCCACATCTGGGTTTTTGTTTCTATTAGTTGTGCACATTCCCACATGCCTTGGTGCACATCAAAAATGTATTCCACATATGGATGAAAAAAAAAAATCACACATGGACAGAAAAGATTAGAGGGAGCATTTGTGTGTGGAAGACCACAACCACCATCAGGACAATTACTCCAGACATGACAGGTTAGACATTTTAGAACTCACTTCTCAAAGAATTAAATTTAAGTACAAGAGAAATGCAAGTTAGGAAATGCACACACCAGTCAACAACTAAAAACAACCCACGCTGCAAGCAGTAAAAGTAGTACTAATTTCCCAAGATTATCATCATTCCCCAAATATTAGAGAGATCATTTGTGTGTGGAGCCTCGCTCCAACCCACGGTCTTTTAGGATACTGAGGTCTGGCAGGCTTTCCTTCCTAGGACTCTTCCATTCTCCCCTCCACAGTTCCAAGTCAAAATAAATTAGAGGAGCCTACAAATATCCAGGGTCCACAGACAGAGGAGTGGGGGATACTTCCTTCTCTAACTAACTCTGGTGTAGGTCCTCCCACCCCTCAGGAGGAATCCTTTGAGTAGCTTTGCCAGAGCCTTTAGGCTTCCCACTGGACTGCTGGAGCTATGAGCTGCAGCTCTCCCTCCTCCAGCTGCGCCACACAAATGAGTTAATTGCTGGTCTTAAATCCACCAGAAAATAGCACCTTTGCTGCAGGTGTGGTGGGATGAAGCCCAAAATAATCCCTTACCTCTTTGTTGCCCAGTGTGGGGTTTGTACATCCCACTGTCCAGGGCAGGGGAGTGCAGGCAGAAAAGAACATAATGAGTTAAGAAGTTTAGTCACTGTCATCCTCCTCCTCTGCAATCTCCTCCTGTTCACTGCCAGCTGAGGGCAGGGAACACAGAGTGAGCTGCATGAATACACACACTCACGCTTGTCAGTGCTCCCACATGTTCCTGGAGCTCAGTGTGGGTAGTAAACATAGGGACATTGCCACACAGGCACAAAAAAGAGTGAGCAACCTTCTTTTTTTATATGCCTTGTTAAATAATTCACAACTCATATAATGGTTCTGTTCTGACAGTGGAACATTTTTCCTTGTAGCAAAAAACAGCCTGATATTACTTTTTCTTCTTCTTTAAAAAGGTCTGGCAACGTTCATTGAACAGTGAAGCTGGCAACAGAGATTAATGATGGACACTTGCATTTGAGCTAATGAATTAGCTTTCTCAAAGATGGCTCAATGGAAAAGAAAGGGCATCTTAAAGGAAAGGCCTTTAGGAGTTGTGAATCACTCCAGCAGTGCAAAGCACTAGAGAAGGGTGTGCAGTCCCATTTTTCAAGAAGTCAAGTGTTTTCAAAGTAATTTTCTCAAACACTAATTTTATTAGCCACTGGACTGAAATGAACAACTGTTACTGCTTCTTTGTAAATTGAACATGTGTTGCAACTTTTGGGGAATAGTCAATTGCTCACAAATGTATCACCCACCAATTTGTAATCACTGCATGTGGATAAAAACACACTCCACTAACAGAACACCACTAAAAGTACTGTAACAGCATCATGGTTGGTAGTACTTCTATCTATCAACCCTTTTATTCCTGTGAACTATTCAAAATGTTCAAATAATTAATGTTTGTTTCAGAGGAGGCAAAAAATCCAGTGTTAAAATATTGCCTAATTCATGAGTCAGAACTTATGACACAGAAAGATGAAAGCTAGCACGAGTATGTTAATTACCTATGTGCACATACAGTACTGCAAATGGATTGCAGAGTAGTTACTGACTCATAACTCCATGTGATCTGAGGAGATTGCTTTATCACTGTACTGATGATATATTCTGAACAGCGATCTCATTAAAATGTGCTTCTAACAATGGAGTACTGCTTCAAACACCCCAACAGTGAGCAGCTGGGCATTTTATACCAGCCCCTGGTCATGTTTTGGCCCCCTGCCTCTGCTCCTGGCGCTAGCTCTTTGCTTCCAGCTCCAATTCCCAGCTGCAGCTCAGCCACTTGCCCCCAATCTCAGTCCTTTCTCTTGGTTGCTAGATTCCAACCCCTTACTCTGTCTCTGTCCCTCAGCTGCAGTTATGCTCCTAATTCTTAGCTATCGCCCTTGGCCTGGCTGCCCCTGCATTCCTGGCCTGGTGGGTGCAGACACAGACCATTAGTGGTGGGGAGCTAGGGTAAAAGTTTGGGCATCACTGTTATACAGTCTAATGTCTTCATATTCTTTCATATCTAGCCATATAAAGCACAGGAGAGTACGAAACATAGTTCGCCAAGGAGTTACAAGTGAAGGGTGATCTAGAAAGGGACATGAATGTAACGTATTATTTTCTATCTGGGGCCAAAAAGTCAGGCAGGCCTTCATCATGCAAGAAGTTATGTGAGGAGTAGTCTCTCCTTTGACTGGGGAAAAAACCCTTGTTTCCCTGCAAAAGAGACCAGTTTCTGCCCATCCTTTAAGATTTTCAGTCTCCTGTGTCAGATGACCTCTTTTCCAGATTCCTCAGATGAGTACAAATCCCTAGGCAATGATTGTTGCTAAGGTGACTTCCTCCGTGCTAAGCCAGTTCTCGTGGGCAGGGACAGTCTTTTGTCTTGAGCAAACAGATTTCCAGTATGTGCATATTTTAGAGAAATCTACATTTTATTATTCTTATCCACCAGCTTTTGGAATTTTCCACCCAACTTCAGAAAAAGAGACCACAGAATAGGCAAAAAGGTAGCAAGTCCAAAATGGAGTTTTCACCTTACACATACACAGTATTAATAATTTCATACACTCACACAAATTTCACACATTCATAAATTGTACAGACATATTCCTGCTTCATCACAGAGTAGCTCACACAAGTAGTCCCAGTAATATCAATGAAAATATTTGCCGGGTAATTATGCAAATAAGGGGTGCGAGATTTGTCCCATAAATGGTAAATACCAAGTAACCTTCTAGAAATTTTTCTTCTAAAACCACCTTCCTACATTTAAAGGATTTCCCCCCACTCTTTCATAAAGTTACCTCCAATGCTCTAATGAGTAAAGTATAACAAATTACATTTCAGTTTCCATAGCAACATACTTTTTCTTATATACTGTCAGGCTGAATGCTATTTTTTGTTCTTTTCCTCCTGCTTTGTTTTAGTAGGATAAAGGCCTTCACAGTAATAAATGCATTTTTGCTTTTCTTTATTATAATGAATAAATAAATTTAAGAAAAGGATATATGCCCTAATAATAGAACACATTCATACTTAATTACTGGGTGCCATTATTCTGAAGGCATAATGTTGCTGACAAACATAGTGGCTCCCTGCTCCACAGAGTAATTAATAGTGTTGTTTATTGTACTATAAGTTTTTCTCTTTTGTCAGACATAATTTGTTAAGTAAATTAGATACTGAAATGCATATGGGCTTAAAAGATAGCAAATAATAAAGTATTAGCAAGTATTTAATGAGACTGAAATAATTGAAGGGAAAAATAGAATTCTGATGCAAACAGTTGCCATAGTAATGACTTAAAGTGGGGTGGGAAACCTTTCTTAGGGTGGGGGTCACTGAACTACAGAACAATCAGTTGGGGGCCGTACACAAATGAGAAGCAAAACAAACAAACCCTCAATAATGTGGCCTCCAACTCAGAAGGAGAAAGACACTCTCCATATTCAGAGATAAGGGGGCGCCAAGCTAGTAGATTTTGTGTGCCACAGCCCCATGGCAGGGGTTTGTGGGGGGACTGGAGCACCAGAGCAGGCTTCCCAATGGTGGAAGGGTGGTGTTGGGGGGCATTTCCAGGCAAGCTTGGTGGCTGCATCTGGCCCCTGGGCCTGAGGTTCCCCACCCTTAACTTAAAGCAATAATAATAATTTTAGAGCTTGTACATTTTACCTACACTTTTTTAAAAAAGAGGATACCAATTCTCCACTCCACATAAAATTCTCCCTTTTTGGAAATCCTTACAGACCAGATCACCATGGGCCTTGATTGTGAACAGAGTATATTCTTCTTCCATTCAAGATCTGGGATGCCAGTTAGATTATACAAAAAAAAAATCAATCAGAAAAAGATCATTAAAAAAAAATCAATGTGATCCACAGCCTTCTTAAGGATCTTTTTCTGACAGCAACGTCTTTCATATCTCTAAAATGCATTCTAACAAAGGTTTCCTTTGAAGGTGAAGACTGAGATGTCAGATATTGAGTGATGAATTGGAAAAGTGTGTGTCCATAGATGTGATATCTTTCGCTTATGTGTGTGTGTGTGTGTGTTTATTTATTTATTCTGTATGAGTTTGTTTGAAAGCACAGAATCAGAGCCTCCTGTTTTTGGAAGGGTCATCGAAAGATGAGCTAGTTCAGTCCTCTGTACAGTGGTGGGCTGTCTTGTTTTGCCCATCTAGTTGCTGGGGCATTTGAAGCACTGGATAAGGCATATCACATGTTATGATAGACACGTGTAGAACTAATGGATTTTAAAAGTGTGTTGTGGAAAGGATTCATCATCATAGTAGTGGAGATATATGTGTAGGCAGTGCCAGCTCGAGCCATTCTTGTGCCCTGGGCAGCGGGCATCCGGCATATGCTCAGCTCTGCCCCCCCCGAGCATGCAGCGCCCCTTACAGCTGTAATCAGGCACCGCGCGGCTCCCACCCCTGAGCTGTAAGAGGTGCCGTGTGCCCGGGGGCGGGGGACACGCGGTGCCTGATTGCAGCAGTAAAGGGTGCTGAGGGTGGAGGCTGTGCAGCGCCCCTTATAGCTGTAATCAGGCACCCCACGTAGGTTGGCGCCCCGGGCAGCTGCCCAGCTAGCTCCCACCCTTAATCCTGTAGGTTTTGCAGCTGTCGTTCTGGTAGGGTCTGGTGTTGCTGTGAGTTGGTTTGTCTTGGTCTGCAAGGAGCTTGCATCTGATAATAACCTGGCAAAGGGTCACTTGTGGAATGGTCATGGACACCCCGCTCCCCCCAGGCTGTGGGGACTCCCAGGCTGGATTATGAAACTTCTCAGACTGTAGATGGCCCACAGGCTGTGAGTTTGAAATCGTGGTCTTAACAGTTCTTTAAATTATGTGATGTGTCGGAGAGTAGTCTTTTGCCTTTGTTAATGTAATCATTATGGCTATGTCTACATTACAGAGTTTTTTTCGGAAAAATGGCTGTTTTTCTGAAAAAACTTTACTTATGTCCACACTGCAATCATGTTATTTTGAAAAAAATCAAAAGAACAGGGTTTTTTTCTGACATTGGTAATCCTCTTTCTATGAGGCAGAAACCTTTCCCCGAAAGAGCTCTTTTGGAAGAAGGTGTGTGTGGACCGGGAAGAGGGCCTTCTTTCAAAAGACGAGGAAAGAGGAAAAAGCACAGGTGCCCTGGTGGCCACTCCATCCATAGTAATCACAACTTAAATGTGAAATAGCGTCCATTCAGTGTTGATGCTCTCTTTCAAAAAAGCAGATTGCTTTTTAGATGCACTTTGGCAGTGTGGATGCTCTCTTTCAGAAGAAGTTCTTTCAGAGCAGTTATTTCAAGATAACTGAATGCCCTTGCAAAAGTGTCTTTTCCACTTCAGGAAGGAAGGAAGGAAGGAGAGAGAGAGAGAGAGGACTGTTTGAGGGGAACACACAGGCTACGTCTACACTGGCACCTTTTTCCGGAAATGGTTAAAACGGAACAGTTTTCCGTTATAAGTATTTCCTGAAAAAGAGCATCTACATTGGCAGGATGCTTTTCCAGAAAAGCCCTTTTTCCAGAAAAGCATCCATGGCCAATGCAGACGCGCTTTTCTGGAAAAAAGCCCCGATCGTCATTTTCGCGATCGGGGCTTTTTTGCGGAAAAGACTACTGTGCTGTCTACACTGACC